AAAGAAAATCAAATAAGGGGGATTAGAGTCAGGCGGCACAGTATGTAAAGTCAATAATTTCAGAAGCACAAGAAGGAACTGACTTAATTTGAATGGGAAGGCACAGGGAGCAGAGGGTGGATAAAAGTATTAGAAAGATTTCATCATAAATGTTGGGGATAAGTAAGAAAGAAATGAAATATATTGGTAAGGAAAGTAGTTACCATTATATTAAAAAATAATAGAGCAATGTGTCATTGGAAAGGGATAGTAACCATAAAGAGAATAAAAAAGTATAGTAGGAATTTGATATTAGCAAGAGGGTAATCTAATTAATATGAGTTTTTTTTTAAAAAATGAATACGATCTTAAACCAGCAAAATTTTAAGAGGAAAAGATTACCTTTTTTTTTTTTTTTGGTTGATAACATGATTATAAACCTAGAAAGCCCAAGATATATCAGTAAACAACTTCTGAATATTTTAAGGTGGCTGTGTAAGTAAGTAAAAAGTAAGTAGCTTTTCCATTTTAACTCATTTCCTATTCTGTGGTATTTTTTTTTTCCATGTAGAAATAGTGGAGTATAAGTCTGTGTACTTATACACTACTCCTTAAATTCTTAGGTGCTTTTGTTTACATTTCCCCCTTCTGGACTGTACTGTGAAGCTCAAACTAAATCTGAGGTTGTATGATCAAATGATCCCAAAGATTTAGGCACAGAAAAAGTTTCTGGAGCTAGCTCTCTGTGACTCAAGCACAATATAAACTCTTAATTGTACAATGACAAGGTGACCTTCATTTTTTGATATCTGGGTCATTACTCCATAGCCAGGACGTCCTTTTCAACTTGAACACTTTTCCTGCCTCATGTGCTCCTCAGGTAACAGGAATATCAGGTTCAACCTTGCACATGAAGTTGATGGACGGAGGAAATCACTCAGCGGTGTCTGAATTTGTGTTGCTGGGACTCACCAGTTCTTGGGAGCTTCAGATTCTCCTTTTTGTGTTCTTCACAATATTTTATGTAGCAAGTATGCTGGGAAACCTTCTCATTGTGCTCACCATCATCTCAGACCATCACTTACACTCCCCAATGTATTTCTTGCTGGCAAATCTCTCCTTCATTGACACGGGTGTGTCCAGCATCGCCACTCCAAAGATGATTTATGACCTGTTCAGAAAGCATAAAGCCATCTCCTTGAAAGGGTGCATCACACAGATGTTCTTCATTCACACTGTGGGAGGGACAGAGATGGTGCTGCTCATTGTCATGGCCTATGACCGATACGTGGCAATCTGCAAGCCCCTCCACTACCTGACCATCATGAGCCTAAGAATGTGCATTTCTCTTCTGACTGTGGCTTGGACCATTGGACTTATCCACTCTGTAGTCCAACTGGCTTTTGTTGTAAACTTGCCCTTTTGTGGAAGCAACAAAATGGATAGCTTTTACTGTGATTTTCCCCGGTTTATCAAACTTGCATGTACAGATACATACAGACTGGAGTTTCTGGTCACTG